CCAGCGGCATTTGTAGGTGAGTTTTTTGTTCAAGTTCTATTCGTCTATGTTTGGCTAGGTCTAGCGCATCGTTCCATACCACAGCATCCAACTCCAGAACCCTCATGGCACAGTTGCTTTAACACGTTGACGACATAGCGCGTTTTGGCTTTTTTCGAGTTTTCCGACATAGTCAATTTCGCGGGCGCCGCCGCCGCGGCAACTATGTATGCCGCTTTGTCTCATAAGGTGCGTTTCTGGAACCTCAGAAGGGAAACATACTTCTGCAGGGGCTAACTCAAGTAAGTTCATCGACATGATAAAAATGCGCACAAAAGTGGCCTATATAGTGAAAATTTCTCTTAATTAGACGCCTGTTCGGGCATATAATATGGTTGGAATTGACTATGATGTTTATGTAGAAGATGCTCTGCAACTGGTCCATTTTCTGATAGAATCGGATGCTGTAACTTTTTGCACGGTCGTTATGTTCTCTGCTTATTTGCTTGTCTATGCACACGTAAAAACGAAGTTTGAAGTGGACTGAGATTTTCGTGAGGTTCAAAAACCCCGTTCCCATTCTGCATATCTAACCTATTTGTGGACCGAGTCGTTTATGGTTACGATGGTGTATGTTCTAGAAGATGAAAACAAAAAACTTAGGAAAGAATTGCGCGCTCAAGAAAACACTGAATGTAAAAAGTGTGACAACTATAGTTGCCACAATGTCCCATGAGGTGCAAAAATGGCGGCATACATGGTTGCCGCGCTGTCGTCAATGTGTTAAAGTTGGGTCGAACAACCAGACCAGTGGCGGCACAGAATCTGAGGACCGCTCACATATTCTACATATACTAAGCCTCATTGAATGCTTCGATAAGGTAGACGTCTCGCCGAACGCAGTGTCAATTTCTTACACGTCTCTGGTACGGCCTTCGTTTTGTTAACATTTAGTGATTCTTTCCACTATTTCCCACTTTTCTAGCCTTTTCAAAACGTTACTGAAAACAACATCACTGTTCCTGCACACCAGCCCTATTGCAGCTTAACTCTGCAATGAGCACAAGTAAAAACAAGTTACAGAATGAATCACTTATCAACAACCAGAAGTCAACATCAAGAAGATACGAAGGGTAGATGATATGAGAGAGTATGGGTAATTCTGTATACAGTGACCACATTGAGAGGTCACCCCGAAATAAACGCTGGTATCCGACTGCTGTCCACGACCACCGAGAACACGGGTGCATCGGCCGGGAATCGAACCCGGGACGCTCGCGTGGCAGGCGAGCATTCTACCACTGAACCACAGAATGAATCACTATCAACAACCAGAAGCTTAACATCAAGAAGATACGCAGAGTAGATGATTTAAGCGAGTATGGTTAATTCTGTATACGGCGACCACACTGAAAGGTCACCCCCAAATAAACGCTGGTATCCGACTGCTGTCCACGACCACCGAACACACTGGTGCATCGGCCGGGAATCGAACCCGGGCCGCCCGCGTGGCAGGCGAGCATTCTACCACGCGGGCGGCCCGGGTTCGATTGCAGGTTCACAGTGATCAGTGGACCACAATTTCTTTCTTCGTAGAATCTCGACATTGTTGTCACTATGATGTTATTCTTCTGCCAGGTTTTCAGGTGAAAACTATCAGTGGCCCGATGTCTCGACGAGACCGTTTTCCTCAAAGGCTCAGTCCACCACCGCAAGAGCAGAACAGCGCCACTCTAGGTCAGTTAGTGACAAAGACCATCTAGGGTGGCGCTGTTCTCTCTTGCTGCGGTGCACTAGGCATGGGCAAACGAGTAGCATCACGTCTATAGTGATCAGTATTTATTCTGTGATGAGACCTGACTTATGGCTGACATTTTTTTCCAGAGATGTTATTGCTGAGTTTGCTCCGGAAATCGATGTACAACCATATGGACCAAAGAGCAACTGTGAGTTGTAGTACTGTTAACATAACAGAAAAGCTTTGAAGTCCAGTCATCGTTTCTTGTCGCCTTCGCATGCGATTTTTCGTTGAAGTAGGAAATGTATAAAGAGCTTTGGGTATACTCGTGATGTTTGGAAAATGCTCAGAAAGAAACGGAACTTCATAATTTGTGCTACTCCAGAATTAATATATTTTATCCCTCTTGAAGGACGTTCTATCATAAGAGATGGGCCATCTGTTTCATATGGGCAACGAGGGGCCAACTCTGGGGACTTCAGGGGGATCGTGTCCATATGAGAATTTAACGAGCGTAATAGTTAACTTTGCTCCAGTGTTGAACCATACCAATTTTTTCTTAAATTATTTTCATACTGATGCAGTACATACATATGTCACAGCAAAATTCTTTATATACATGCACTGACTTTAGCACAAGGAAATATCAAGACCCATGCGTCCCTGAAAAAAATGTAAATTATGGAGAAATGGTCAATGCGCCTGAAAAGTAAATATTAAAAGATTCTAATGCTGAGATCTGCGGTGGGGGTAATGAACTGAGTAGAAAGATCGACCTTGATGGATGGTCAGAAATCAAAGAAGTGAGCTAGAAAACGCATAACTTCCAAGAGAAAGCTAATTAATGGGCAGAACCCTTTGTCCCAGGTCGAAATCGACCCCCCTCCTTTTGCTTTCCGGGCAGTTGTGTTGTTACCGATTACACCACCATGGCAAAGCTTACATGACCCAGCTTTCAATGGTTTACCTACATTTGCTTATCAGCGCTCACACGAATAAGTGGTGAGCTGGTTAGCTAACATCGGCCGTGAACCGTGAGAGTGAAAGCACTAGCACGGCGTAAAGGCGGATTTTGATAGAAAGGCTTCCCACTGGAAATTAAGTTAGAGATGACGAGTAATCGAAAGAAGAAAAAAACCAAGAAAAGCGACCTTGAACCATGAAATGAAATGAAATGAAATGCGAACCCTTCCTTGCCGTTGAGTGGTGCATTGATGCGACTGTCATCGGTGCTGCCCTCTTTAACGCTAACGCTCTACCGGCTGAAGGCCTAGAGACTTGGACACGAGACGATGCGAGAGGTGGGCGTAACGGCCAATAGTACGCCAAGTGCGCTGGGAAAGGCCATGCTGGATTGTCGGGGCATACCCTCCGATGCGAATCGGGTGTCGGTGCGCAGTCTCAGCAGGTCCATATGTCTCTCCACTGGTATGTTCCCCTTCTTCGACCCGCTTCCTGATCGGAGAGTTCTCTTCTAATTTTCGACTTGCCAAATCAAAAGCGAGTCGAAAACATAGCTTTCCATCCAGATAGATGAAAGAGCAGAAGATGAACAATTTAAAGCCATGTGTACAGACAATACGAAACAACCCATCAACTATCAGCTACCCGACTTCTATTTTATCTTTGCGTTGAAAAAAAAAGAGTGCGATGCAGTGCTGCACAAGAAGTTTATCATTCCAGTTTATCTCTGCGAACGGACTCGTAAAAGAACGCTGGCCGAGTCGTTTGAAAACAAGGCAACCATATTCTCGGGAGTCGTGCTAGGACTCACATCAGTATCTGCCATTATTGGACATGCGGTGCGACGTCACTTCATTCCGGAGAGGAAACAAATGTATGAGAATCTCGGGGTACAGTAGAGAAAGCCGTGTTTAAAAGTAGTTGTGCAGTGGAGGAGAGCACGTGTCCAAGTTTGTCTCTTAGAATCATTTTTAAGCACTTTGTGTGTGTTCATTTTCTGGATAAACCAAATTTTTACTCAGACTCTCAATCGGCTGTATATGTACTCTTTAAAATTTTAACCTGAAGCAAAGCGGTGAATCAGCATGTGCAAAACGGCCGAACTAGATTATTGACTAGAATCACGGAGTATTCGCATAACACCAGCACTTGCCGTTACTTATCTGTGCATCTAAAACTAACATTTTCTGATTGAAAAATGGATCTGCGTAGGGTGAAACGGAGCGCATCGCAGCCCTCGCTAGAGGGCAGGAAGCGTTTGGACACACCCATCACCTCGACGCAGCTTTCACCTCAATGTTTTCCCAAGGTGAGCCCGAAACGCAACAGGCACATGGCCGCCGATTCTTCAGACCTCCAACTGCATTGACGTAACCCCACCCGTCTACTGGCAGCACTTCAGATGCTTCTCACTCAGGGAAGTGAAAGATTTCAGAGAAGGATATGCACATGCAGGGAACTTCATGACTCTGAGCCTCCCCAGAGGAGTGAATTGACAACCTGAATGAGAGTAAGAATCGAACAAGAGATGAGCACTTTGCGTACTCTCTGATTCAAAAAACCCGAAGCGCGTCGGGTGCACACCACACTCCACAAGTGAGGACGGCCTCCACAAAATGTAAATGTTTTCTGCTAGTGTCAGAATTACTTGGAACTAGAGTAGTTTTATCAGATATCATTATATTAATCGTGTTATTTTACTATAATATATTAATACATATTAAATTTTGCCACCACGGAAGATTGGACTTCGGGCCATTTCTTCACTACCGTTTGACGTTTCGGTACTACCCTGCGTCCAATAATTGTAACTTCACCTAGTAATTTCCCAAAGTCTCAGAAATTCAGATGTTTTGGAAAAACTCTCCAATGTGGCAATGTGGTAAATATAAATGCGAAATTGACAATGAACCTCGTCTTCCAATTTGAGACCATAGAAATTTTTCTAATAATTTTTGTGCAAAAAGCCACTTGGCTGACTTCCCAAATTTATAACTCCACCTAACCTTTTTCTGTTGCTTTTCACCTCTGTCTTGCGAAACTTTTTCATGGTGGTGGCACATTACTTCTTCATGGGATAGGGCTGTAAAAACTGCTGTCGGACTTTAAAAAGGCCCGGTCGCCGCACAAACTGTTGATCAAAGCAATTGCGCCAGGTTTGGACCGAAATTACGCCGAGCTAAAAAACTTCTGCATGGATTTCATAAAATATGGAGTTTAGAAGAGCTCTCGAAGTCACTTCGTGTTTTTCGATAGAAACAGAAGTCGTACGAGGAGAGAAACAAGCATTTCTACCAAACCATGCTCTGTTATCGAATCTTCTTTGAAATTTAGAAACACAACGGACTCATGTTTCAGCCGTGAAGAAGAATCCTAAGTTTACTCTCGATTGGAAGATGTGGTAGGCATCATCAGTAACAAAAAACCGATCCAAAAATGGGGTCCATTTTGTATGAAGGTGCAGCGGGGCAACAGGAGTACGGCTCGCTTTTGCTTGATGCGTTTTAGCATTTCTCTTTTTTCAACTCATGTTTTTTCTTTCCCTTAGTGGCTTTTTCCGTCGCAAGGCACCACCTAGAGACAGATAAAAAAGGAGAGAAAGAGAGATTTGTGCTAAAACGCATCAAGCAAGGGCGAACCGTACTCCTGTCGTCTCGACTGCACCTTCACACAAAATTCAACCCCGTTTTCGGATCGGTTTCTTGCTACAAATGATGCCTACCGTAGTCTCCACTCAAGAGTGAACATGGGATTCTTCTTCACGGGTGAAACATGAGTCCGTTGTGTTTTCAAGTTTCAAAGAAGTTTCGATAACAGGGCATGACTTGGTAGAAGTGCTTGTTTCTCTCTTCCCACGGCGTTTGTTTCTATCGAGAAAAAACAAGAACGGGCTTTGAGAGCTCTTCTCAACGCCATATTGTATGAAATCCATGAAGGAATTCTTGAGCTCGGCGTAATTTTGGTCCGAAACTGGCGGACCAAAAGTTTGTGCGGCGACCGGGCCTTTTTCAAACTCCGATAGCAGCTGTTATAACCCTATCCCCTAAAGAAGCAAAATGCCACCACCATGAAAAAGTTTCGCGAGACAGAGGTGGAAAGTGATAGGAAAACGTTAGGTGGAGTTATAATTCTGGCACGTCAGCCAAGTGGATTTTTGTACAAAAATTATTAGAAACTATTATATGACCTTGAGTTGGAAGACGAGGTTCATTGTCAATTTTGCATTTATATTTACCACATTGCCACATTGGAGAAATTTTCCAAGACTTACAAAAAAATGAGATTTTGGGAATTTATTAGGTGGAGTTATAATTATGGGACGCAGTGTGTTCCACTACTACTGCCCCAAAATCTCAAAATTTTATTTTTCATCGAAACTTTGCTTATAATGGTAACTCGATGCGCTGAGCACGAATATGACATCCATTTTTGATGCTAGCGCCATTTGGGGACAGTTGGCGCCATCTTGTCAAGACGGTTGTTTTCACCAAATTCGGTGTAAACTTGTATACATTGGTGGGTTATTTGGTGTTCCGATTACGTATATCATATTTATTTTTGATGCTGTCGCCATCTGGCGCCTACTTTCTGCTCGTCTGCGCTCTCTCACTGGGTTTATCGCGATTTGGACTAAGCCCTTGAGTAGGAGAGGGCTCATTGGTAGGGTGAGCCTTTTCACCCTGATATCACACACTTCAACTTTTGTCACACATTGCGCGGTTTCCCCATTTCGGAGTCTCCCTTTCCCGACAACTTATCCTTGGTCTCTACGTATAAGCGAGAGAGCCCAGGAGAGCAAAAAGTGTGCGTTAGACAGCAGCAATTCCAAAAACTAATGTCATACTCG